TGGCTAGGGGTAAACTTCTCTGTATGTACGGGTTCCGACACTTGGTCGAAAGTCTTTGTAGCTAACGTGATGCGCCTAGATAGGGTAATACTTCTGACTTTGTTTGTCGGAAAATCATTGATGAAGGTTATGTCAGAAACTTCACTCCATTGGTCGTAAAACACCAGGGCGCGGTTAATTAGTGATGGTTCACTTAGTGTCTGCATAGGCGAGTCCCTTCTCCTAACACTATTTGGAAAGCAAATAATGGGTCTTGCTCGCTGGAGGCAATCTATGATTTGTCCTCATCATCGAGGCAGTTTCCACATCCCTGAATTTGTTTTTATTACGGCATAAACGTAAATAGTGGAAAAAAATGTTATTATAAATCTTCAAGCCTTTCTGCACTTTATGGGAGATGTCCTTCTCGTCTTCATCACTTTCTTCCTCCTGCACACCATCCTCTGCATCTTACAAAAGGCGGCAAGGGTAAAACTTTCCCCCTTTTTCAGTACCTTCATCGTATTCTCACTCCTTCTTCACTTCTTCTTCCTCTTTTTTTTTTTTTTTTCGTCTATCCCTTCATCCTTCTTTTTATCCTCACACCGTTAGTCCCTCAATCTATGATTTCATATCCTTTTATCCTGGAGTTTCTTCGTCCTCCCCACTTTTTCCTGTGTCACATCTATCTCCATTAGTGGTCTAATGTTTGAGAGGTCGAGTTTCACCTCAGGATTCAACGCCTATATGCAGCTTATCGTGAGACGTAGTTACTGCAATGCAAGTGTCTTCCTTACCAAGGGCAGTCTTAGCCTTCCGCCTAAGTGTAGTACTTGGCGATAAGAGGAGGTTGGGCTATTTCCCTGAGAGGGCTCCTTTGCGCATCCCTTACCTCCCCTCCCTCCCTCCATCTTTCGGTGGGAAGGGGGTGGGGGAGAGGTGGTGGGGAGTCGCGTCTGGTATTATTATGGTTGTTATCATCTCCCCCTAATGATCCCGAACCACAAAGATTGAGAGGAGGGGGTGTTCCTTGACCCTGGTTTTGTTTTCTTTGAGTATGGTATGCCATAATAAAATAAATTTATGCTCTAGAGACTCGCTGCAGAGTTGGAAACATATATAGGAAACATAACATGATATAAACAATTTAGAGTTTATAAAAGATAAATAAACTCAAAATAGTTAAATGTAAGTCAAGTTTTGATAATTTTATTACTCCTCAGACCGTTGTAGTCAATATGCCCACCCGTCAAAAGATTGATAATCAAACGTTGGAGCTGCACGCGGTCACAAATTTTGTTTGGTGGTGAGTCTACCTCTCTTCAAATTCCCATAAAAAAAAACGTTTTGTTTGGATGCATGAGGACGGGTGGACGTTAAGCAATACGCTCAACACGTTGCCCAAATGAGGCATCTTCCGTGATGAATGTAGGAATCTAATTACATAGTTAGCTGCTTCAAAGCAAATTTCTTCGTAGATGCTTTGAAAGGGTCAAGTAGGATATTACCTTAGATGATAATACTTACCTAGTGACTTTCATACCTTGGATGAATGAAGCACAATTAGAGGACTGTGAGAGGCAATGCATTCTTACATTTTTGGATTTGGTGTATCCAGGTTCCTATTGTGGTTATGCCACATGGGGCAGTAGAAGACGCGTTCATATGGGTCTTGAAAACTCATGATACCTATCATGATCCTCTACACACTGAACTGAAAACCTTTCAATTCGGTATGGTTCCCTTCGCAAAAGTTTGTTACATGTTATTTGAAACTGCAGGACCGGTAGCTGCCCGTGGGACCGCACGAGTTTTGGTCCAGGATCGCATAGGACCGGTAGCTACGCGTAGGAGGGCGAGGAGGCCGCAATCCTTTTTCGAAATTGAAACGGTGCGGGTCCACTTTTCTCGAATAGCAGGGTTCCTCGAATAGAAAAGTGGTATTCGAATACAACCTGCACCCTTTCTATTCGGATTTCGAAAAGAAAAAACTTTTGTATTCCGATAAAATTACTTTTTTTTGTTGGAGGTCAGCGCCTGCCCGTGTACMCCCCGCCACTGACATGTTGCATGTTGCAGGTCTCTCTCTCTTTCTCTCTCACACACACATACACACACACACAAATACACACACACACATACACACACACACAAATACACACACTCACACACGCACACACGCTCTCTCTCTCTCTCTCACACACACACACACACACACATACAAACACGCACACGCACACACGTACGCGCACTCTCTCTCTCTCTCTCTCTCTCTCTCACACACACACACACACACACACACACACACACACACACACATACGTTCTCCTGTCTGTTGATGGGCAGCGCCACCTGCTGGAAATTGGGTCCAGCGTCCCATGAACATCGTGAACAAAGCACCAACCGGGACCCCATACACACACTCCCTTCGAGTTGTGTATAGCGAACATGACAAAACATACATACAGCATAATCACTACCTTACTCTTCCCGAACCACATAAACAAACAAACTACGGGCTGCACACCCGTGCCTTCACGGTAAGTCAATATAAACACAACCCTACGGGCTGCGAACATATTGAACGTTGAAAACAGAGGAAGATCAAATGCGTCGAGGAATGATTTCAACTTGCCACCTGGTATCTCACAGGAGGCCATGACACCATGGTGATGTCGAGGACGAAGACAGAACCCTGGAAGTTGACTATGTCGATGCCGTTCTGTCCCCGCGCCAAGTCCACGACTTGCGGCCGGAAAATAGAACTCCCTACCATCACCAATAGCGAAGTTCGCAGCCCGTCAGGGGTGCGTTTTATGCCCCTGGGAACATTTTTCGTCGTCGTCCGTTATACGGTCGTTGGAAGGCTGGAAAAACAAGGCATGGCCGTTTAGGGGGTGCTGGCATCTTATTTGAAACTGCAGGACCGGTAGATACCCGTGGGACCGCACGGGTTTTGGTCTAGAACTGCGTAGGACCGGTAGCTGCGCGTAGGAGGCCGAGGAGGCCGAAGTCCTTTTTCGAAATTGAAACGGTGAGGGTCCACTTTTCTCAAATAGCAGAGTTTCTTGAATAGAAAACGTACACGTTGTATTCGAATACAACCTGTACCCTTTCTATTCAGATTTTGGAAAGAAAAAACTCTTGTATTCCGATAAAATTACTTCTTCTTTCTGTTGGAGGTCAGCGCCTGCCCTTGTGTTCCCCACCACTGACATGCTGCATG